AAAAAGTTTAATATTTTTGTTAACCTATTCACGTTTTTATTAAAATTACGTACAAATTAGGTGATTTGTTTTAAGAAACATTCACGTGGGTACCGAAATTCCCGAATTTCCCGGTTTTCCCGGTACTGGCTTAGACCTGGTGCCGGTAATTCAGTAACACTCCTTAGTACCGGGACTTGCAACCCCTAGGGGTCGGTCAGCCTCGCACCACTCGAGTGGGACGCGTCACACGCGAAGCGCGTGACTCACTTGTAGTACTTGTGGTCGTCGCGCTCGTCGTCGTAGTCCTCGAGGAACTCCTTGAGGCGCTTGGCCTCGCGCTCGCGCTCCTCCTCGCGGCACTCACTTGTAGTACTTGTGGTCGTCGCGCTCGTCGTCGTAGTCCTCGAGGAACTCCTTGAGGCGCTTGGCCTCGCGCTCGCGCTCCTCCTCGCGGCACTCACTTGTAGTACTTGTGGTCGTCGCGCTCGTCGTCGTAGTCCTCGAGGAACTCCTTGAGGCGCTTGGCCTCGCGCTCGCGCTCCTCCTCGCGGCACTCACTTGTAGTACTTGTGGTCGTCGCGCTCGTCGTCGTAGTCCTCGAGGAACTCCTTGAGGCGCTTGGCCTCGCGCTCGCGCTCCTCCTCGCGGCACTCACTTGTAGTACTTGTGGTCGTCGCGCTCGTCGTCGTAGTCCTCGAGGAACTCCTTGAGGCGCTTGGCCTCGCGCTCGCGCTCCTCCTCGCGGCACTCACTTGTAGTACTTGTGGTCGTCGCGCTCGTCGTCGTAGTCCTCGAGGAACTCCTTGAGGCGCTTGGCCTCGCGCTCGCGCTCCTCCTCGCGGCACTCACTTGTAGTACTTGTGGTCGTCGCGCTCGTCGTCGTAGTCCTCGAGGAACTCCTTGAGGCGCTTGGCCTCGCGCTCGCGCTCCTCCTCGCGGCACTCACTTGTAGTACTTGTGGTCGTCGCGCTCGTCGTCGTAGTCCTCGAGGAACTCCTTGAGGCGCTTGGCCTCGCGCTCGCGCTCCTCCTCGCGGCACTCACTTGTAGTACTTGTGGTCGTCGCGCTCGTCGTCGTAGTCCTCGAGGAACTCCTTGAGGCGCTTGGCCTCGCGCTCGCGCTCCTCCTCGCGGCACTCACTTGTAGTACTTGTGGTCGTCGCGCTCGTCGTCGTAGTCCTCGAGGAACTCCTTGAGGCGCTTGGCCTCGCGCTCGCGCTCCTCCTCGCGGCACTCACTTGTAGTACTTGTGGTCGTCGCGCTCGTCGTCGTAGTCCTCGAGGAACTCCTTGAGGCGCTTGGCCTCGCGCTCGCGCTCCTCCTCGCGGCACTCACTTGTAGTACTTGTGGTCGTCGCGCTCGTCGTCGTAGTCCTCGAGGAACTCCTTGAGGCGCTTGGCCTCGCGCTCGCGCTCCTCCTCGCGGCACTCACTTGTAGTACTTGTGGTCGTCGCGCTCGTCGTCGTAGTCCTCGAGGAACTCCTTGAGGCGCTTGGCCTCGCGCTCGCGCTCCTCCTCGCGGCACTCACTTGTAGTACTTGTGGTCGTCGCGCTCGTCGTCGTAGTCCTCGAGGAACTCCTTGAGGCGCTTGGCCTCGCGCTCGCGCTCCTCCTCGCGGCACTCACTTGTAGTACTTGTGGTCGTCGCGCTCGTCGTCGTAGTCCTCGAGGAACTCCTTGAGGCGCTTGGCCTCGCGCTCGCGCTCCTCCTCGCGGCACTCACTTGTAGTACTTGTGGTCGTCGCGCTCGTCGTCGTAGTCCTCGAGGAACTCCTTGAGGCGCTTGGCCTCGCGCTCGCGCTCCTCTTGTGGTCGTCGCGCTCGTCGTCGTAGTCCTCGAGGAACTCCTTGAGGCGCTTGGCCTCGCGCTCGCGCTCCTCCTCGCGGCAGCGCTCGCGCTCGCGCTCCTTCTCGTACTCCTTGGCCTTGCGCCGCTCGCGGCTCTCCCAGTTGCGGAGCCTGTGGGCAATCGCAATTATTAGAACGACCCTACCAAAGGCAAATGGAGGGTTCAGCCTACTTTCCCGACCCTGCTAGCCGAACGAGTTAGGGAGGTATCATGTTCGCATTTTTTCCCTCAGTCGCCTCTTACGACATCTACAAGAAGACTGGAAGTTTTAGCCTGTCGCAATCACACTCATAGTATACGGAAACTTATCAAGAACAAAAAGACTGTCGCTTAAGGCCCAGAACAGACGGTGAAACGTAACTGCAACGAAACTGCAACTGCTAGTTACTTTTGAGTTGCATCTAAGTTTCTGCCATAGCGTCCGTTGAGAAACCACACATGACGCGACCAGTTTGAAACTTTCAGTTTCAATTTCATTCATCAAAATCATCACAAAGTTGCAGTTTCGTTGCAGTTGCGTTTCACCGTCTGTTCTGGGCCTAAGTTTGAACAAGAAAGAAACCTGCTGAAACCAA